TTGGAAGGTGGAAGCCCTTTCCACTGCATTTCCTCTTATCACCAGGAGGGGGCGCTACAAGCAAGTACCTACACCAGCCCGGATGGGGAACACGAGGGTGTTTCAAAAAAGACTTTATGGGAAATGCAATTAAAAGGTAAATTTATTTAGCTGCATTAAAAAAAAATCATACATCTATGAGACGTCATATTGTGCAAAAGCTATACACAGATTTCAAGACTTTTGTGCCCAAATAAACTTTTGATCCCATTCTGGATGAACTTTTGCAAGCGCCCCTGTGGTCAGAGGCTCGGCAGGCCGTGGACGGGAGCCTGGAACCCACTTTTCCCCCCGGCCACGTGGCAAAGCCTGGCAGGGCTAGGAGCTGAGCCCGGCAGCCCTGGTTCCCAGCTGCTGTACTGCCTGCTTCCCCAGCCAGCCAGAGTGCAAGGTCTTCTCACGGACGGGGAGTGGAAGGGCACGGGCGAGGACCCTGGAGCGGAAGACGCCAGCTTGCTCTCAGCAAGGAGCGCTCAGGATTGAGGTCCACGTTGGCAGAGGCCAGGGTGAAGCTGGTGCCCGTGCCCTGGAGGAGACTTGGGGAAGTGAGGGACTCTGGTTGGAGACCACCTCTGGGGAGCTCCCTATGCCCTGTATGTACGTATTTTTCGGAGAGGTAGAAGGATGAGGGGCTGGTCGGGGGGCGCCCCGGGGTGGCCACCAGCTCCCTGCACCCTGTATGTACGTATTCATCTGAGAGGTAGAAGGACGAGGGCTGGCCGGGGGGCGCCCCGGGGTGGCCACGAGCTCCCTGCGCCCGTGCCTGCCTCACGTTTCCTCTGGGCGCCTGGCTGCATGGATCTCTAGAAGCCACGTCTGTGATGACCTCACACAGGAAATGAGGAAAGAAGAGGCGACAGATACGTCACTGCAGACAGAGGAAGCAAATGCAGGGTTGTGCCCACGAGCAGTCATTGTCCACAGAGACCAGGCAGCTGGTCACACCGGCAGGAAGTGACTCCCGGGGCCGGCACCCGGCGCAGCTGGGCACATCCTATACGGGCACTGGTTTGATTCCCAGCTGCCCCACTTCCAATCCAGTTCCCTGTTAATGGCCTGATTCTCTCTCTCTCTCTCTCTCTCTCTCTCTCTCTCTCCCCTCATCACCCTCTCTTTCAAATAAATAAATAAATAAATCTTAAAAAAAAAAGAGGGGCCAGCACTGTGGCATAATGGTAAAGCCACGGCCTGCAGTGCCGACATCCCACGTGGGCTCTGGTTCGAGTCCCGGCTGCTCCACTTCCGATCCAGCTCTCTGCCATGGCCTGGGAAAGCAGCAGCAGATGGCCCAAGCCCTGCACCTTCTCGGGAGACCTGCAAGAAGCTCCCAGCTCCTGCCTTGGGATTGGCCCAGCTCTTGCTGTTGCGGCCATTTGGGGAGTGAACCAATGGATGGAAGACCTATCCCTCTGTCTCTAACTTGCGTTTAAAATAAAAAAAATAAAACTTTTTTTTTTTTTTTATTTTTTTGACACGCAGAGAGGCACAGATGAGAGAGAGAGAGACAGAGAGAAAGGTCTTCCTTTGCCGTTGGTTCACCCTCCAATGGCCGCCGCGGCCGGCGCGCTGCGGCCGGCGCGCTGCGGCCGGCGCACCGCGCTGATCCGATGGCAGGAGCCAGGAGCCAGGTGCTTTTCCTGGTCTCCCATGGGGTGCAGGGCCCAAGCACCTGGGCCATCCTCCACTGCACTCCCTGGCCACAGCAGAGAGCTGGCCTGGAAGAGGGGCAACTGGGACAGAATCCGGTGCCCCAACCGGGACTAGAACCTGGTGTGCCAGTGCCGCTAGGCGGAGGATTAGCCTAGTGAGCGGCGGCGCCGGCCAAATAAATAAATCTTACACACACACACACACACACACACACACACGATTCCCCCACGTCAGAGGGAGAAGGGGCCTCTGGGCACAACGCCCCACTTCTGGTGGCAGAAGCAGGGTGGGGGACTGAGCCTCCCACACCCCCACATCCTGCTCTGTAGCTGCCCTGTCTCGGCCGGCTGTTCCCCAGGACCAGATGGAGACCGAGCAGCCGCAGAGACACGGCCCCAGGACAGGACACTTGTGTCAGAATGTGCGTCCCCAGAAGAGAGAGACACCAGAATGGGAGGAGCCGGGCAGGAAAAGGGGCAGGCGCTGGCAGCCAGGGGGCGGCCCTGGAGACACCCCTGCCACCCAGGGGCAGCCCAGCCTTCTCCAAGGGCATGGACAGTGGCAGGAAGTCCTGCAGGTGCCCAGGCACGGGGTCTCAAGAGGCCCCTGAAAGCGTCCATGCTGGTATTTAAGATTTGGACCAGCGTTAGCATTAGCATACCTGGTTCCCATGTGGCTTAGCCACAGGTTCAAGTCCCGGCTCTTCTGCTTCTGACCCAGCTTCCTGCTACGTGCACCCTGGAAGGCAGTGGTGATGCCACCCAGTCTGGGCCACTGTGGGCCTCTGGGGAGTGAACCAGCAGGTGGAAGATCTGTCTCCATCTCCCTCTCTCTCCCTGCCTTTCAAAGTTGCACACCCATGGGAAAATGCTCAGACTCCCTTGCAGCTAGGCAGCTAGACAGTCACGCCGCGCGGCCGCCTGGTACCCGCGCTGAGACAGAAGGGAGCTCACTCGGAGGGCGCCGCGCCGCAAGCCTGTCACAGGAGCAGCCTCACACGATGGAAAACAGCCTGGCGCTTCTTCAAAAACTTGACAGTGGAATGACCCCACGACGTGGCACTTCCGCTTCCAGGCCTGTCTCCCAGGGCACTGAATGCAGGGTGCACTGGTGCTCACAAGAGCCAGACGGAAGGCGCCCACACGCCGAGCGCTGCGAGAAGGGAGAGCAGAATGCGTTGCACAGGTAACCTGGGACGTCCTCCCGCCGCTTCTGCCGGAGCAGACATTCCGACTGCAGGGCCAGATGGAGACGGTGACTTCCCTTTGCTGCCTTCCACAGCGGGACAAGAACCTCCTCCTCTGTGTCAGCGCAGCAGCCTGGACGCCTCAACCAGCTCTCAGCCGTCTTGCAGAACGCGGCTCAGAGGCCTGGCACACCTCACCTGAGGATGAAACTCACAACTGCTCTGTTTATTTTGCGTCCACGGGGGTGGGGAGGGGGCTTGAGGAGCCAGCCGCTGACACTCGGCCGGCATCTTGGCTGAGCCTCGCTCTGTGCAGGCAAGCTGGTACCCGTGCAGTCCGCAGCCTGCGGCCCCCCACGCCCCTGGCCAAGGCCATGCTCATACCCCATCCCCTCACCCAGGACGCAGACGGCCCCTCCATCCAGAACAACCAGCGGGGGGCGGGGGCTGGATGTCTGTGAGGGGACCCTGCTGATCCCCGCCCCCACCTCCAGTCTCTTATTCCGGGGAATGGAGCCTTTGGATTGGCTTCCATGGTCTGGATGCACAGGCCCGCAGCGGGAAGCAGCTGGTGTACCGTGAGGAAGGAGGGTGGCCCGGGAACATCGGGCAGCTCAGCCGGCGCCTGCTTTCTCCCTTTCCCGGCACACACCCCAGGCCCAGGAGTCCTCCAACGGGTGGGGGGGCAGAGCTGAGGAAGCAGAGCAGGGACCTGCAGGCCACTGCATCCGGGGTCCCACTTAGGAGGCTGCAGCCCGTACCCCATCCCACATCGGGGGCCTCGGCCCCAGTCCTGTCCCCGCCTCTCGTTCCATCTAATGAGCACCCTGGGAGGCAGCAGGTGATGGCTCAAGTCCTTGGGCCAACGAGGGAGACCTGGATGCAGTTCTATCGGCTCCCGGCCCAGCCCTGGCTCTTGCAGGCATTTGGGGAGTGAACCAGCAGAAATAAAAATAATTAAGAATTTCAAAAAATAAAATTGTGGCTGACACACATGGCTACCTGTTGCCTTCAGAAAGTTCACAGAAAATATGTATCTTGGTAAAACTGCAGATTTCAAATTTTGTTTGCAGCAAAATAAAATTGTGATGTAATTTCGTTTTCCAAGCACCTTTGTGCCTATTCCTGCTTCTTATCGTTCTTTTTTTTAAAAGATGTATTTATTTATGTATTAGAAAGGCAGAGTTACAGAGAGGTAGAGAGAGAGGTCTTCCATCCGATGGTTCACTCCCCCAGATGACCGCAACGGCCGGAGCTGCGCCAATCAGAAGCCAGGAGCCAGGAGCTTCTTCCAGGTCTCCCACGTGGGTACAGGGGCCCAAGGACTTGGGCCATCTTCTACTGCTTGCCCAGGCCATAGCAGAGAGCTGGATCAGAAGTGGAGCAGCCGGGACTTGAACCGGCGACCATATGGGATGTCAGCACTGCAGGCGGCGGCTTTACCCACTACGCCACAGCGCCAGCCCCGTGCATATTTTCTGAGCTCTCTCCAACACCGCCGCCGGCATCCCTTGGTGGTGGGCCCGGCCCCAGCACAAGGCTGGAGCGCCTCCATCTCTCTGCACCTGTAAAATGGGAATAATCTTATCTACCCGGTGGGGCTGCTGCGGGGCTCCCAAAGGCACAAGGAAGCCTCCTTGCCCTTGAGCCGCTGTCGTCTGGGTCCAGGGGCACTCACCCAGGTGCAGGTGCACAGATGCACGCAGGCAGACTCCTGCCAGGCTGGAGCTGGGTCCTTCTGAGGACCGGGCAAAGGCCAGGGGACGGAGCCCGGGCTGGGGGCCAGGGCTGGCCGGCGGCCGTGGGTGGAAGGAAGACCAACCCGGCGGAGACGGCCCTGCGGTCGGCTCGGACGCCCACGCCCCCGTTATTTATAGGGAGCGCCTCGCGGTGGAGTTAACCCTTTGCGCGCCGCGGCGCGGGCCTGGGGCGCAGGGCGGGCGGGCTCGGGCTCGGCCCCGCCCTCAGCAGCCTGGCGTGCGGCCGCGGTCAGGGACCGACCACCTGTCCCTTCCCGCAGCCGAGGCGCTTCGGGCCTCGGAAGAGCAGAGCAGCGCTGCCTCCCGGGCTCCGGTCCCGACTTGGGTGAGGGGCCGGCCCCGGCCGCCGCGGGGCCAATCCGGCGTCTGGGGCGCAGCCGGGGCCGCCTTTCCGGGCCCTCGGCTTCCTCCGGCGCGCCCCGCCCCTCGGGCTCGCGGGTGCCGCGGCCCCCTCTCGGCCGGGCCTCGGGCGGGCAGCGCGGGCCGGTCCCGGCGGCGCGCGCGGTGAGTGCTTGCGTGGCGCGGGCGAGCGCGCGGGGCGCGGGCGGGCGGCCTTTGTCTGCAGCGGGCGCGTGGCGGCGCCTTCCCCGGGAGATCGGCGGACCCTCAGCCCCAGGGCGCCGGAGGCCACCGCGCACCAGCCTGGCCTCTCCTCGCCGGGGGCGAGGCTGGGGCCGGGCCCGCCTGGCTCCCGGGGCAGCTGCGCGCGCCCGCGGAGGCCCTGGCAGTGGAGCGCGGGCCTGGAAGCTTCGGGAAGCCCTGGGAGGGAAGGGGAGCCACTGGATGTCGGGGAGGGGTCTGCGGGGAGGAGAGGGTCCTCTTTGCTTGACCCTGAAAGACGAAGGTGTGGGCACTGGGGACTTCCCCGGGCGGCAGGCGGCCGAGGAACCGGTTCTGGGAGGGGACAGGGAGGAACAGCTGGCCCGGGTGCAGGGGTGAGTCGGTGCCGGCGTTGAGGGTGGAGCCGGGGTGGGGGGAGTATGGGGCGCGGGAGGGGGAGGGGGCGGCCAGAGGCGCGGGCGCAGGGGTGCCCCAGGCCCGCAAGTGTGGCAGTGGCTGGGTTTGGGAGCGGTGAACAGGGCAGAAACGGGATTTACTGCTAAGCCAAACCTGCCCTAATGAGAAATGCGTGATGGATGAGTCAGACCCGGGCATCTGTCACCGAGGGAGAATACTGCGTGTGTGTGTGTGTGTGTGTGTGTAAGGGTTCACCCTCAGATCCGGTGTGGGTCCTTGTACACCAGGCTGAATCGAGGGCCCGGGGTCTTGCACGCACGTGTGTGGCGGTTGGAGCCTGGACTTCCTGAGCTCCTGAGGGTTAATTACAGGAGTGCTGACGCTGTCTTTGGGAACTTGGGGTCAGTCCTGCCCGCAGCAGTGTCTGCACTAAGGGGTGGCCCCCTCCCCGTGCTCGGGGGGCTTCTGGGGAGACAGAGCCCCTGCCTCGGTGGCCCTGACTGGTTCTTGGAGCTCTCCATGGGCCCCCTGGAGGCACCTCACTACCTGCAGGAAGCCGTGTGGTGCCCTGGAGGCTTCAGCCCTCCCTAGCCTCAGCGTGAGACCCTGCTGGGGTGGGAGCACCCAGTGTTGGGCCCTGGCCGGGGTCCTCTCCCTCTGAGTACATGGCAGCCAGACTGGTGCTTGAAAGTTACAGGGAGCTCAGAGGGTAAAAGTTGTGGGTTCAGAGCCGCCTCTGGGGGGTCTGTGCCCTTTTTTCCTGGTGAACTTGACCAGGAAAACTTTCTGTGTGGTTCCTTGACCTTGACCTTTGTCCTTCTCTGGAGTGGGTTTCTAACAGAGCTGGGCAGTGCCGGGATGGTCATAGGGCAGCCACGGAGTCTTCTAGAAAGTGCAGTGGGGGCTGGCGCTGTGGCGTGGTGGGTAGTGGGTAAAGCCGCCACCTGCAGCGCCGGCCTCCCATGTGGGTACCAATTTGTGTCCCAGCTGCTCCACTTCCAATCCAGCTTCCTGCTAATGGCCCAGGAAAAGCAACAGAAGATGGTCCTAGTGCTTGGGTCCCTGCTGCCTACATGGGAGAGCCGGATAAAACTCCTGGCTCCTGGCTTCAGCCTGGCCCAGCCCTGTGGCCACCTGGGGTGCGAACCAGCAGATGGAAGGTTTCTCTTGCTCTCTCTCTCTCTCTCTCTCTCTCTCTCTTTCTGTAACTCTGACTTTGAAGTAAATAAATAAATCTTAAAAAAAAAAAAAAAACCACACAAGCAAAAGACAGCCCAGGTGCCTCGGCCCTTGCTGCGTGGCCCTTGGTTAGACAGGCGGGGTTTGGGCTGTGTGCACAAAGTGACCCCAGGCTGGCCAGCAGCCTCTGCCATGATGGATCTGAGTCATGGGCCCAGGGGGGAGGCAGAAGGGCAGGCAGGATGATGTCACCGCCCACGAGCTCCTCCCTGCGTCCTTTCCCACACCCCAGGGGCAGGCGTGGTGGGGAGGGCACAGCCAGGGCCCACATGGTCTCGGGAAATGCCCGCTGGTCCTGTGTGGCCGGGTGCCACACTGTTCCACCGCCCCAGCTCGGCACATCCCCACAGACGGGACTCTGGGGGATGCGTCCCAGATCTCATCTCACCGAATTGTCCAGGCCGTCCTGCCCGGTAGCGCCATGGCCCAGACGGGGAAACTGAGGCCCAGGGGAGCTGGCCCATTGTGCCATGCTGGGGACTGCCACGGTTTCATGGTGTGGAGGAGAAAGGTTCACCGAATGTGCCCCTTGGGGAGCTGGGCAACCCTGATGACGGTACTGCCTGAGACTCCTGCCTCCGCCCACAGGGGGCCTCCGGGGCCCTGCCTGCACCAGCCAGGACGCTGGCCGGGGCTCCCAGCTGCCTGCCTGTTGCCCAGGTCTCCCCTGATGTGAGTGGGCTTCCGGAGAGTGTTGGAGCGAGACCCCCACCCCCAGGTAGTGGCGTGAGGAGCAGTGAGACGCTGTCTATGGGAGGCAGGGCTCCCCAAGTCATCCCAGGTGCCCAGGAACTGGGGAGATGTTGCAGTGTGTGTTTCGGGGGGCTCTGAATTGGGGGGTGGCATAGTAGTGGCTGGAGCCTGTGGCACTTCTGGGGGGAGAGAGCAGGGAGGGGCCTAGAGATGGGGTCGCGTTGTGGCTGGGCTGTGGAGCTGCATGGGCGCTCCCGGCAGACAGGGAAGGAGCAAAGGCCCTGGGGCCTGGACGCCGGCCCCCACACAGGATGTGTTGGCTGGGACAGCGGGGTGGGGGCAGCACCAGCTCGCTCGCTCTCTCTCTCTCTCTCTCTCTCTCTCTCTCCGTCTCTCCATTGTCTTATTCTCACCGCATCCCTGGGCCCATGAGCCACACCTTAGTCTCACAGATATGGAATCCAGTCTCTCATGGGTTAAGCCATGTACACTTGGCTCAGGCCTTGGGGTCAGAATTCGAACCCAGGGCTGCCTGCTCCTGAACCCTCGCTGTATCCTGGGCAGGTGGGTGGCCTGAGGCTCCCTCTAACGGGGACACCCAGCTGGCTGGCTGGCCATCACCTCTGCTGCTGACCGGTGACCACATGCTGGCTCCTGTCCAGGCTCTGATTCCTGTCTGTGTCAGGGGCACGGGGCCAGGTGAACGCCAAGAGGCCCTCACGCCCAGGGGACCCCTTGCACCTGCCGCCCTCCTGAGCCAGCGTCCGTGGGAGAGCCCTGGGGGGCAGTGCAGGAATTGGGCCTCTTTCAAGTGGAGCCTGGACAGGCCCTGGGCAGGGGTGCGGGTGGGGCCTCACAGGACTGAGCCCACGTTGGGGTGAGGGCCACGTGCCTGGCAACATCTGCCTTGGACCGCAACTTCCTGTGTCCGTCCCCTTGCTGCCACCCTCTCGGCTGGAGTCCTCTGAGCTCAGTGGTCTGCATGCGTGGATAGCTCAGCTTCCCGTGGGCCTCTGGTGCCAGGATGGGCTCACGCTGCCCGGGGCCCTGGGAGACGCAGGCTCATTCTGGGGCAGCTGCAGCCTGAGGAGTGCACAGGGCGGGCCGGCACAGGCATCAGGGCGCCTTGGGCCTGAGCCCCGCGTGCCGTCTGGAGAGGGGGCGGCCACTGGCCTGTGCGCTCTCCCGGTCCTGATGCAGCTGCACGGGAGGCAGGCGGGGACGCCAGGGAGGCCTGGGCCTGGCCGCGTGTGGGGCGGCCATGATGGCAGCCGCTGTCCTGCCTCACTCGGAGAGGGAGGACGCGTCACCTCCCTCGGGTGGGGTCACGGGGCTGGGGCGCAGCCCAGTGGATGGCCTTGGACACGCACGCCAGGGCTGACTCAGAAAACCAGGAAAGAGGAGGCTCTTCCCAGAGCGCTGTGCGGAACCTGCGCCCCCCCCTCCCCGCACCTGCCCACTGGATGGCGCCTGGCGTTAACGGGGTCAGTTGCGATCGCTCTCTCTCTCTCTCTCTCTCTCTCTTTTTGTTTTTGACAGGCAGAGTGGACAGTGAGAGAGAGAGACAGAGAGAAAGGTCTTCCTTTGCCGTTGGTTCACCCTCCAATGGCCGCCGCGGCCAGCGCACCACGCTGATCCGATGGCAGGAGCCAGGTGCTTCTCCTGGTCTCCCATGGGGTGCAGGGCCCAAGCACCTGGGCCATCCTCCACTGCACTCCCAGGCCACAGCAGAGAGCTGGCCTGGAAGAGGGGCAACCGGGACAGAATCCGGCGCCCCAACCGGGACTAGAACCCGGTGTGCCGGCGCCACAAGGTGGAGGATTAGCCTAGTGAGCCGCGGCGCCGGCCAGTTCCGATCTCTACACTCACAGGGGAGGGTTTCCAAGCCCCGATTCACAGATGAGAACACTAGAGTGCCCCTAGTCACGTGACCTGTATTTGAACCCACCTCTCTGACCCGAGTTGTCTGAAACACCAGGCCCCCTTCTGTGATGGCGCCAGCATGTGGCCTTGGGCACAGTCCAGGGCGGCAGCCGAGGGGGCTGAGGCCCAGGGCGGTCACTGAGCGGCTCTCAGGTCCACACCAGGCTTGGATGCTGCTGCCTTCCTTGCCCTGTGAGTTGAAGAATCTCATGCTCATTGCCTGAAGTGGAATAGATCAAGCAGAAAATGGAAGTAGACCTTAATCCTCATTTTTTTTTGGTGCAAAAAAATTAAAATCCATGCATCAAATAAATAAATAAAGTCTTAAAAAAACAAAAACAAACAACATAAAACCATGGGAGGCAGGAAGGAGAGTCCCATATCATGAACAAAACTTTTTTTAGAAAAAGAAATATTTATTCGAAAGGCAGAGTTAGAGAGAGGCAGAGAGAGAGAGGTCTTCCATCAGCTGGTTCACTCCACAAATGGCTGCAATGGCTGGAGCTGGGCTGATCCGAAGCCAGGAGCCAGGTGCCTCTTCTGGTCTCCTACGTGGGCGTAGAGGCCCAAGGAGTTGGGCCATCTTCTACTGCTTTCCTAGGCCACAGCCGGGAGCTGGATTGGAAGTGGAGCAGCCAGGACTTGAACCAGTGCCCACATGGGATACTGGCACTGTGGGCAGTGGCTTTACC